CCTTTGTCCTCGGCGCCCGGCGGCGCGCGCCGCGTGTGCCCGGCGCGGGCGCGTTTGCTCAGCGGTGCGCGGCCGGCCGGCCAAGCTCCGAGCCAGCGAGCTCCGCGGCTAATGAGGGGGGCCGTCGCCGGGCGCGATTAGCATACAGCTGCGCGCCCCCCTTCCTCCTCCTCCTCCTCCTCCTCACTGGCGGGCGAGGCGCGCTTTCTCCCGGCCTCCGCGTCCCCCCGCGCCTCTCCTCCGCGCGAGGGCCGCGATCCGCAGCGCCTGGCGCAGGCCTGCGTGGCGAGGGCCATCTCTGCGCCCTCTCCCGCTGCGCGCCTCTCCGCCGCCACCAGATCCAGCGAGAGGGCGCACGCCGCCGGCCGAGGACGGAGCGTAAGCGCCCGCACCGCACGCTGTTCACGCGCACCGGCAGCCCCCGCCCGTTTCTGGCCCCCCAGAGCAGCGTGGGGGGAAACGCTGCTGCCGTCCAAAGGTGCAAGCGATTTTTCGGGAATTGCTCCGGGATGGCGCTGGGAATGGTGTCCCGCGGCTCGGCTCCCCCGAAGGCAGCGGGAGCAGCAAGGAAGGCGCATGGTTCAAGCAGGGCCCGAGAGGCAGCGTGGTGCAGTGGTTGGAGCCCCGGGCTGGGCAGCCACAACACCCCTGGGGTGATTTGGGCCAGTCACAGACTCTCAGCAGAGCCAACCTCACAAGTGGGTTGTTGCAGGCTCAAGCAGAGAGGCCGAAGAGGCAGGTTATGTGAGCTTGTGGGGTTCCTTGCAGGGAGAGGGTGGGATATAAAATCAGTAAACAAAGAAATCCGATACTGAGCAGAGCTGGGCATGGGGGGGCCTATGTGTCACTGGGAAGTATGGTGTTATTCCAGGTAACAAGTCCCAGCCCGTGCAAATTAAGCCGGAATCTCCTAGCTTCCCCAGGCTCTCACAAAATCACCTAGGAGGGCTTCTGGGCCTTGGGGTGGGGGGTGGGGGCATGCTTGCCCCCAACGGGGGTTGCATGCAGATGCCCAGGCACCTCTACCTGGGAGGGCCAGGTGGCTAGCCTGTGCTGGACTAGTTGGGCCAAGCACCGGGCCTGTTCCATCGGAACAGGTTGGGCAGCCATCCCAATCCATGATGCACTATCCATGGGGAAGGTCTCCCATCCGGGTGCCACTACAGTGAATGGGGCATGCCCAGGAGCCCCCTCCCTCCCCCCCCCAACCCCCCCCCCCCCCCCGCAAGAAGCCTCTTTGCATTTTCGAAGATGCTTCTCCGTGTCTTTGCATTGCATGTGAAAGGGTTGCAGACAAAACCCTTCAAGCAGCAAAAGCAGGAGGGGGACAGCATGGACCAGCGTGACTAACAGGCGCATCAAGCCCCCCCACTGGAGTTGGTCCCCAGTGTGCCTAGTTATTTGTATCCCATCTTTTTGTTCCTTCCAAGGGACTCGAGGCGGCTTACAACATTCTCCTCTTCTCAATTTTATCCTAACAACAACCCTGCGAGGTAAGTTGGGCTGAGAGGCTGTGACTGGCCCAAAGTCACCCAGTGCGTTCCATGGCTGAGTGGGGACTTGAACCCGGATCCAGTGCCCTGCTCTTGGCCACTGCACCACCCTGGCTCTCACATTGTGCCCCAGAATTGCGCTGCACAAACTTCAGTGCATGTAAAGAGTCGCTTTACCCATTCGCCAAACATTGCATTTGGGGCTGAGACTGGTTAAGCCACAGGCTTCTGGGACAATATGGCCCGTTTCATCGGCCAATCCTATACGTGATCCAATTTACCTGAAGAAGGCACCTCTGAGCAAACCCCTCATTCTGAAAAAACACCACCACCCAGGCAGAGTATATTCTATTGAATTTGATCGAACGGGCTTCCCGATAAATGTCATTTAAGTCTGACCTTAACCCTACTGAATCAGATTAAATCTATATAGTTGAATTAAGTCAACTGTAGATTGAGTTGTATGTGTGTCTAGAAACAATGGCCAGGCTCCAGCAGAGAATTTTGAAATGTCATCCCGCCAAGGTTTATGGCTGCATTTGCCACTACACATAGCCATTGAGGCGGTTTCGAGCTACGTCACTTTTAACCCATCCTTGAGCCAAACTGGAATGTGTTTGAAACCAGGCCAAGCCAGTTTTGTGGGGTTCTGCCCTGAATACCTGCATCTGAAGAAGCTCTATGTCCAGCTCACAACTAGCAGCTGTATAAAATATTGCTAGTAGTGGTATAAAGTATTTCACTTTCTGGTTAGTGCCCTTGCTCGGAAAACCTACCAGGGTTTGAGAACAAATCTACCTAACCAAAGGTGGCGAAAGCCCAGGTCATCAAAGAATCATCAAGGGAGAGTAAGACCCACTAAAGGTGAGTTCTGCATAGGTACAAATAGGACTGAGTTCCTCAGCAGACTGCATCAGTGATGGATAGAGCCAACCTTCCTTCTCTGGCAAAGATCAGATGCCTCCTTTCAGTGGGAGACATGGAGCTGCCCAGATTTCATTCAACAACCTGCTTTATTTACTGTCTCTTCCTGCCTTGATTTTTCTTCCTCCTTGGCTGCGCCAGCAACAAACCCTTCTTAGCAGGACAAGCTGCAATTGGCCCCTGGGTTGCTGAGATGCCTCTGGAAGAGAGAGTTAACCCCACAGCTGCTGGGTCACTAGCCAGCACATTAGAGAATTGACCTCCCTCTCACGACAATGTACCTTCTGTCCAGGAAGACAGAGAGATACAAAGTTCGTATTTGGAATGAACAATTAAAAAGCTAAAATGCAATATGCAAATCTCACCGGCCATCTGTCAGGGTCTCCAGGGAGGGAGGCCCTGGCATGGAAGAGCCCAGGCGACCACGGGGTATAAAGGCAGCAAAACTCAGAAGCTGAGTCAGTGGGGTGAAATGGAGTTACTTTACTATTAACCGAGTTGCTGAAATGGAGACAAACTGCTGTGGGACTGAAGGCCCCGTGGAACCTTTTCCCATCATTTCACCGAGCGGTAATTAATGCTTGCATTTCAGAACGCTTCACCATCCATCCGTAGGCATTTTTCTGCATAATCACGTAACTAGATGGCTTTAAAAACCCTCTGGATCACAAAAGCAAAGTCATGCCCCACCTGCTGGGTGTTCAAATACGGCAGGTTTGATCCTGTTCACTAGATGCTCGTGAAGGAAAGCGTTTAGTGTGAGTGTAGTTTCAAGAGGCGCCGAGATCCATAGCTAAACTATTCCTGGCCAGGCGTACATTGGAAGGTGGTAACGGTTATAGTTCAGGTAATCCAGGATGCTTTTCTCCACCAAGCTCTTGCAGATGGCTTGCTTAAAGGACCGCTTGAGATAAGTCTTTGGCCGCTCCAGCAGCGTCAGCTCACCTTCTACCACTTGGCGGACCAGTTCTTGCATCGAGGGAGCCCCTTCGTTCTGCAAGTGACACATGGCAAGAGAGAATGTCCCAGATGATCATGAACTTGATTAAAACGCCCGGAATGGCATCGCCATCGTCTGCCCCATCGGTAGAAGTAAGGCACAGAGGGTTTCCGAGTAGCCCTCGGATAAAGAACTCCAGCCCACACAAAGGATATGGCGCTGCGCTAGGAAAGGCAAAAGTCAAACTGGGATTTATTGCTTTGCGCCTTTCGCCAGAGGCTATTCGTTAAGCCTCCCTCTCACCTTCTCTGATCCCCAAGGCCCAGAGAGTTAATACAGAGGCACAGCTGCTCATCACATTCCCTGGAAGGCAGGCAGGCAGGCAGGCAGGCGAGCGAGCGAGCAAGGCCAGCCCTCAACGTGCTACACTTGCAAGAACATGGGCAAGAACACGGGAAAAAGCTGTGCCGGATCCTGCCGGGATTCCTCCAGCCTGGTGTTCTGTTCACACAGCGGCCGACCGACTGGAAATTGCGGGTGCGATGGCAGCTCCCCGCCCAACCTTCGCTCCCACTGGTATGCCCACACATGGGTCCAGGACCAGTCACTGCGAATGGCCCGCTTCTCCATGAACTTGCCCCTTTTAAAGCTCTGCAGAATTGCACACTTCAACTATGTGCTTGTAAAGAAATACTTCCTCTTATCTGTCCTAAACCTCCCATGATTCAGCTTCCTTGGGTTCTAGAATTACGAACGAGGAAAAGGCTTTCCTGCCTTCCTTTGCCACACCAGGAATCATTCTGGACACAGCCACCCTTTTTCCGCTTGCCCTTTTCTCCCCTGAGCTAAACTCTCCCAGATGTTGTAACGTTTCATTTTAGGGAAGCTGATCGTTTTAGTTGCCCTGTTCTGCGCTGTTCCCAAAACTGCAACATCGTTCTTAAGTGCAGTGACCGGGGAGGGGGGTGGAATTGGTACATGAAGAGAAAGAAATGAAGCTGTGCAGGAAGTGGTGCAGCTTGAAGGGTCGAGCGTGCTGGGCAACGGGCAGGCATGCTCCTTCCCTCAAAGGCAGCCTCTTTTTCGAGGAGGGAAATGGAGCCGACGGTGGTCCGGACTTCCATGGCACCTTTGGAAAAGAGCCCACCACATGGACGGTCCCGTGGCCAGGTCAGGTCGAGCCATCTCAGGTAGCGGAGTGGGGCAAGAGCATTTCTGCAGAGCACTGCCAGCTGGACTCGAGGTGGCAGGACCAGAGGCAGCACAGGCGCGTGCATCCAGAGGTGATGCTCAAGTCTGTACGCAATGTGGTGTGAGTTAAAGGGGGTGGGATGTCAGGCAGGCCAGCGATCTGCCCTAAGAGATACTCGTAAGTGTAAAGAATTCACCTTCACACGGGGGAAAAGTAGCAGCGGATTGCTCACGGAGGAGTCCCGGAACCAAGGAAAGGCGTGTGCCCCGAGTCAAGCTCAGCGGGGCTGGAGGGGGTTTGCTTGAATTTCAGTGCTAGGGCTCCTGATCAACAAGCTGCCCTTGCCTTTTTGAGCTGAATCAGGCCCTGGGAGAGTGCATGCTCTCACTTATTCTTCCCTTGTTCAGAACGGTTTTGCCAAATTACACTCCAGGGCTCTCTTTAGAGAGCAATATATATGCACAGAGGCACTCTCGCCCACTGCTTTTCATGCAATCTATGCAAGAGGATAGGAGGTTATTTATGCCACCATAAATGTGGTTTCTATTCAGGACAAACTTTCGCCTTTATAAGGATTTGAGGGACATTCTGGTATCAAAAAATAAATAGAATTAATCTTCCACATGGATAAACTGTAAATGGTTTTCACTGTTGTTGTAAATAGAATTGATGGCAACTTAGGTTGTTTGGAGGTTTGGATATAATTATTATCGGATGATGCATAGAGATATTCCCAACATGGAACTCAAAGGGTCTTGGAGGATAAAATGAAGCGGCTAGTTCAGTAGGTGAAACAGTTGTGGGATATGCTGCTTAGAGCCCTGGGCCCTCGCATGCCCATTCTATTTAATTACAGAGTGGGAAGACGAGAGGAGTGTGAGAGAAAATTCAGGACGATCGGATGTAAATCAGGCCCGGAAATCAATTCAGAAATGCAGATGCAGCATCTCCCAGAACCCTTCTCAGATTATAAGAGTGCCGACTGCGGGAGGATCTCATAGTTCAGTACTGACCCCATGGAAAGCTAGCTAGCGTGTCAGAGGGAAGGCTGTAACCTAGGAGATCGCCCGTCATTTGAGCTTTCCCGTTAGAGGAATCGCAAAGTAAAAGCAAATAAAGTGACAGACAAGAGTGCAATTGCTATGTGGATGTCAACAAAGCTTTTGACTTTGCCCTGCACGGCCTCCGCATAAGAGGGTTTAAGGCATGTGAATGCCAAGAGCAGGCTACACAAAATAGGAATTCAGCCGGCTGGAAAACCTCCGCAAGGCCATCGCTGGGGAGGTGCAGAGCCTCAAGTGCAGGGGCCAAAGCCAGAGCTCCTCCCATCCCAGCCATGCCCGCTGGATTTCCCAGGCTCCGTAACCCCTTCTCTTGATCCATACCCTTCCTCCCAGCCTCCAACCTCTTGGTGACTTCCCAGCTTTTGTCCACTCTTCCTCCACGCTAAAAGGCTACAATGGATTTGTTAACTGGCAGGAAGTGGTTTGGCCAGACAATGCTGGTAGTTTTGGTTTTGTTTGGCTGAGAATGATGCAGAGCATCATACTGGTCCTTCCACCATCACCTCCACACCCCCATCCATTACGCCCGTTTCTTCTTGAAGAAATCCTGCGTATTATCCAGACAGTGGCGACACCTTCTTGATGCAAGTTTTCCCTGTTTTCTTGCACTAACATGGCTGCAGCATCTTCACTGAACCCCTCTACTTCTCTATTTAACTCCCTCATGTCTTTGCCATATTTTGTTTCTCTTTCGGCTCATGCACAGGTTCACTTCCTGATGATTTCAGCTTCAAGCAAAGACTTGTGCTATGTAAATTAACCAGCGCAAGCCACACACCACATACTAAATTCAAGAAACCTTAGGAATAAATAAAAATCTGCATTCATATCACCTCCCAGAAATGCTTTTCAGCGGGGTCAGTTCAGACATTCCACTTGTATGCAGTTATTGTCCCCACAAAGGATCACATAGAGCTGAAAAAGGTGTCAAAAGGAGCAAATTGCAAGAACTAGAGTATTAAAGCCCATATAATGTGCGGAAAGCTCAGAGCAAGGTGGGGCTTTTTGATTTTGAACAGGGACAATTTAAGAGAGCCGTGATCGAGGGCTATCAGTGCACAGTGTGCTGAGAGAGAGAATAGAGAGAAGTGGGCAAAATCGCCCAGTGGAGCTGAGTGGCAGTCAATGCAGGTCAGGACTTCTTCTTTTAAACCCTTTATGCAATGTGAAGACGTCTGTGTTCCACCAGCTCAGAGCCAGTCTTTTTCAAATAGCAACTTGTATGCCTGATTTGGACTGACTGGGGCAGAGTGTAAAAGATGGTTATTAGTTATAACGGCTGCAGTTTCAGAAATGCTGGGTGCTTCCAGAGTAAGCCCTGATCATGCAACCATTGTGCCTTGAACATGGAACTGTATAGGGGAACCAAACAATAGGGTGTCAACCCTCACATATTTTCCCACTGCCTCCTCTGTCTTTTTTCCTTCCACAAAAATCTCTTGCAGACAAAAAGACAGAACACAAGCTAGATGCAACACCTTTTGATTGATGGAACTAGGGACAATTTGTCCGGAAGCATCTAGTACCTCTCAGCACTGGGAAATGGCCCTCCATGACCCCAGCAGTGGCCTTCCCGGTTAAACTGGACAGGCCTCTGGTCTGAGCCAGCGGGTTTCCTGCTAGGGAATATAAAGGAGTGTACAGAGAGTGAACGCAGGAATACCAGAAATAGCAGCCGCTCTCAATTATGCACGATACTCTTTTCAAAGTTCCTAACTGCTGTTCTGGATGACCAGCTTTTGACGAAGAATAAGCAGCAGGAGAAAATGAAGTGGACGATGACAGCAAAATCCTAAAGTGACCAGCAGGGATCGATGCTCACATGATAAAATGCATTTGGCGGCCACTTGCTGTACCTGGACAGATTCGAGGATCTGGCGCAGTTCCTTCTTCAGATCGATAAAGCGGTCGTGATAGATGGGCAGGGCCCAAGGCTCCTTGAAGTAGCTGGTTCAAAAGAGGGAGAAGAAGCGGCACGATGTAGTTACCAGCGAGCCTTTCATTAGCCACTAATGAACTATTTACCTGCTTTTTTGCTTTTACAAATTAGGGTTCTGGACCCACCCGGGTGGTTTGTTCATCAAATGCCTCCCGTAACAGCATGGTCAATCAATTCTTTTAATGGCTGTTCCTGATGTACAGCCAGCTTCAGTAATTACATTTAAAGTGGCTTAATTCGGAGCTGTGGCAAGAGACAGTGAAGAATCCTGATTTTATCAGAATTTAAAAGCCCGAAGACCTGTGAGGAACTGTGTCTTTGTTATCTGTCCTCATTTGAGAAAAGCAGATGGCAGGATTAACCGAACTCCTGCATAAACAAATTACATTTGTGTAGACAATGACACAAGTGTTGTTCATCATTAAGGTTTCTGGATTAATAAAGGCCAGAAAAACAGGGCCACAACAGTGTTGCAATATGCTCCTTGCACTAGTGCATGGAAGCTAAATTGAATTTGTCATACATGGAAATACTCAGTGTTTCTATCTCCCACAATGGAAGCTGGATCTGTGGCAAACTATTTTCCATGTAAATAAATTTTTATGTTAAGTTGCCCAGGCCTTTCGAATGGGGCAGGAGGTAAATATAAATACATTTTAAAGTCATGTAGAACTATAGAAAAATGTCAATATCAGCTATGCTAGGAATTTAATATACCACTACGTATTTGCAATGCCATGGCAACTGAGTAACACCGAAACTGGTGTCTTAGAAGGTCAGCTGCCCGGTCCGTCTGCGGAGCTTTCTCTAGCCATCTCATGGCACGGAAGTCATCACTAGAAACAGAAGTTGTGCTGAGATGCCACTGAAACGTCATGGAGCTGGTGGAGCCGAATGGGGGAGTGCTAGATTCCAGTCCTCAAACCAGAAGCGAGCCAATACTGTTGCTGTTATTGATGGTGAAGTGCTGAGTTCATTATTTTTCGGCGCCAGGCTAAGACCTTTTTATTTAAACAATATTTTAATAACTTTTAATATCATCTATAGGTTTTAATTTGCAGCCAGGGCGAATCTGGATTTTATTAGTATCATTTGTATTATGTTTATTTATTTTATGTAAGCCGTCCCGAGGCTATGGGAGGGCATACAAAAATTCTAAATAAATAAATAAATCATGGATAAAATGAGATTTTAGCATTATATTGTCCAGATAATGTCCCTCTGTGTTTAATATGCAGCAGCGAAGGAAAGGACTCACTCCATACCACATCCTCATGGCTGCTAGAATATTCTGATTTCCTGAATGTTCTTGAGATCATGAGCGGTGGAATGTTTTTTAACGAGAATGGTGTTATTAGTGCAGCTTATCTGGCTTTATCTTGGATACCATTTGCCTTGGTCTCATTGCTGATAACATCCTTGGACTGACCTCCCTGATGCGGCCTGTTGCCACGTCATGTCGCTTCCCCCTTGTCCCACGGGGAAAAAACATCCCTCTGTTAAAATTCTGGCTCGTGACCTGGTTGTCTCTCAGCCTCACTCCTCTGTCTTTTGCCCGGCCCTGTTGTTAGATGCCCCCTTTCCATCTCTGTCCAAAATCCTTATGTATCTTTCCACACACAGAAGCATTTGCTAAACCAGATGAGGGACGACCGCTTTCTGTGGGGGCCGACTGCCCTCCCAGACCAAGCCTGGAAGGTCCCAAAGATGTGGAGCAGCGGCACACGCCTTCCATGACGTTCTCTGCATGGAAAACAAGCTCTAGCAGAGTGCTCCCCCCGCCCCCATTGTGCACAAGTTGGGATCGGGGTTCTACAAGAGGTCATCTCTGCATTCACACAACCCACCCACCAGCTTCAGTGCCCTGCATTCACTACCATGGCTGTGTCCGTCCAGTACAGGGCCAGCTGTTCATTGATCTCCTCTCAGTTCTGAGGCCACAGTATTTATTGATTTGATTTTCATCGCATCCCATTAGCCATAAGAGCCTCAAAGGAACTGAGGAGAAGATAGCTGAGGGCAGGAGGGGCGAACAAGCCGGGTTTGGGCACCTTCCAGGCAATGGGCCACAGAGTTACTGGTAAGCAACCTGCCTTTTAGCCTCTTACTTTTTCTTGACAAACTGCGGAGTCTCTGCTTCATATCCCATCTCAGCTGTGAACACTGTGACTTTTAGTCATCACCACTATCTCTCAGCCCCAGTCTGCTGTCTCCAACTGGGGAAAATAATTCTGGCGTGCCTTGTTGGGATGCTTTGAGGATTACAGAGATAAATGTTCTGAGCACTCTGAGGAGCTGTAGAAATGCTCAATATAACCGCTTCACCTGTCCCCTTCCACCTCCCATGTCTGACATACTTTGAATTTAATATTAACTTTGAATGGAATGTTAAGAAGAACCAAAAGCTGAACCAAACCTCCTTGGTGGTTAAGCAGTCAGTCAAAGCTTAATTTTGAGCGACTGCCGCTTGTTCCACTCTGTTTTATTCTGTTCTGGCTATGTGTCTGCTTAGGTGTGCCACCCCTGACTGTGCCCTTTTGGAATGCATTAATTAATAATACTCAATAGGAGATACACAAATACGTTTAGCATTAAACCCCACGTCCCATTTCATAAAAATAGCATTGTGGTTATCCAAGGAAAACAGTATTTCCTTCATTTTATTAAATTTCGGAGATTAATAAGATTGCACTTGGTGAGTACACATAACATGTGCCCACAGAAAACACAATTAAAGATGAATTAATAAACAGACTTTCTGAAGGCTCTCGTGACTTGCCAATAAAGGGATTTGATGTCCAGTGATGAAGTAGGCAGCCTATTAGGATAAGTTCCCATCTGGAGAACAACTCCTGGAATGGGCACTTGCAGTATTTAAAATGTTACAGAGCCTAGAGACATGCTAAGACTTCTTAATGGGCTGCCAACATGCAGCGCTGCACAGACAGCAGGTCCTTGTGGAACATCTGGTCAGGGAATGGAAGGGCTTCTACGCTGGCTCAGCACAGAGAATCAGGCCTGCCATTGGGCACCAGCTACTGGGAGATACTTCACTCCGATATTGCTGGTTCTTGGCAAATGCTAATTTAAGACGCTGGCCTGTCTCCACGTGAATGCAAAGGCGTGAGGGCAGGTGATTCCAGTCCAACCCTGTGGGATGCCCCAGCAAGCAGCCGTGGCACAGATTGGAAACTTCTGGTTGTGCTCACAGGGCCACAGCTAAGGGACAGGACTCTACCAGCTGGCTAAAAGAATTGCCCCATGGTGGGAATGAAAGCACCATAAGCAGGATTAAGTGTTGATGCACCCATAGAAAGCGCTGTGTACGCCAAGCTGTTCAAATACTGGTAGGTATAATAATCCGGTGAAGATCATCCTGGTGTGCGGAACTCCGGGAAGATTTGGAAGGATAATCGGCCTTGTTCAGGCTGGTATTCATCCTGGCCAAGAAATATGCCCCTCTTCTTTCGCTGTGTCTAACATTAGAATATAAATCTTGGGCTTTACTTCCCATTTTTGTGCTGGCTGTCCTGCAATTCGGTTCTGTGGGTTCAGTCATTCCCACGGCACTCAGCCCCTTGCTGAAATCTCTTCCACCTCCCACCTCCCCCAGGAAGCTCAGGGGACTGCCGAGCACCCCTCTTGCATCGTGCCTGGAAGCTTCGCCCATATTCTTCCCTGCGTGGGCAGCCAAGCCTCCAATGCGCAGCAGCGACACATTTCGGGTGATCCACTGGGATCCCTGGAAAGAAACTGGTTTCCATGCTACACGTGGCTCTTCCCGCCTCTGTTGCCCTTTTCTCCGTTGTGTGATCACATGATGCTTGGAACATCCTGTCCTGCTTTCGGTCCCACCTTTCCGTGGGAGGCCCAGCCACTTAAGTACAGCCTGACTCTGGTCTAGAAATAGGGAAGATCGTGGGACGGCTCCCTTCTTCCAGTTCAGTGGGGTTTTCCATCATCTTAAGAGGAGGAGAGGGCAACCTGAAGGCTCCTCAGCCAGACTTCCACAGACCAGACGAAGGCAGGGGCACAGCCCTTAACATCATCTGGCTCTTGGAAGGAACCACTGAGCTGGCCGCAGAAATAGGGTTCTTCCAGCCACCGGCTCAGCAGTTGACTTTCCCAAGCCAAGTCGAAGCTGGAGCAAAGCACCTGGGACTGAGCTTCTCCCATAGCCAGCACTGTCCCAGTCCCTCCACCTGCACCACGGCACCTTGCCCAATTAGTAAAGAAGGTGTATACTGGTGAGCCCACACTGCGACTGGAAACCAGCTAGTTCGATCCCATGCTGCATCACTCCCTGCTTATGTTTCCCAGCACTTGAGTTTCCCAGATCCAAGGCTGGGAGCAGAGCTCCAGGCTGGGAGCTGGGCATCCATGCTCTGATCCAGCTCCCCGTCCTCAAGGTCAGTGTGGAAAGAACCACAGCAGCTGCTTTTCCAAAGCTGGAAACCGGCCTTGGAGGGGTGGTTATGGGGGCATTTTGTGGGGCCAGGAGAGAAGAAGACTGGGGCCCCCAGGACACAAGATGCTCTGAGGGCACTCTAGCCTGCCTCTCCCTCTGAAATGTCCCAGCTAGCGGAAATGGAGAGTGGGAGAAGGAGAGAAGCAAAGACGGCCTTTGGTGCCGCCTCGCTCTGCACAGAACGACCCGCAGGCCTCTGGCTAAGGCCACACAGGTGCAACAAGGGTGCAGTCCTTAAGGGATTTTTATCCCGCTCTTCCATTTGCAAGAGCAACGAGACCTTCAGCAGTAAAAAAAAAAAAAAAAAGAGTCACACTGAAAGCAGTTGAGCAGTAATTAAGGATTAATTAATACATTTTCAGCATAGAGCTGCTTTTTCACTGCGAATTCTAATCCCCGGATTTCTTGGTAGTCTAGCTGCTCATTAGGAGCAAAGTTATTCATTAAAAAAGTAATCAAGACATAAAATCAGTCCCCAGTGCTCGCCCAGTATTTCCTGGCCATTTATATCGCTCTATTATGTAAGCACAGCGTGGAGCA